CCAAGGGCAATGCTAGTGCAATGATTATAAGAAGAAATGGCTTATCAAAGAGAGATAATATATGGAAAATCCTAATACTATAATGGAAATGATGGGAATAGAGAGGAGTAGGATTACCCTGTGAATATTGATGAGTTTAACTCCAAGAAATTGAGAAACTAAAGAATTTTTTCAGTTTCTTGGAAAAGCTTTCTAGTACATGCTCTTTTGCCCAAAATGGTTCTACTTTTGATTATTATGTTTCAGTGCCTTGAATGCTCATTTTCAAACCTGGATCTTAGACCCAATTTTCACTAGACACATTCGATACTGGTGGAAAGTAAGTGATAGATAATTCTCAAATTTTTTATAGGATGATCAGAAAAGATCTCAATTTTTTTAACTTTTACCCTGAGTCATAGCTAACCTTTTGACAATTTATAAAATTACTAAAAATCATAACTATAAAGTCACATTTTTTTTATATTATTGAGTATTTTAGGATCTCATTATGGGAAAGACGCAAGTTAGAAAGAAGAATGTTCTATATTTTCTCGAGGACTATAATCAATTATCATACTTTTTTTTTTCACTCATAATATTAGCATCATTTGGGAATATCATTTTAGTCCAAGGGCATCCTTAGTTTAAAACTCTATAATATATGTTTTTTTTTTTTTTAATGAATGTAAATACTGAGAACTTTTATTGTGAGACATTTGAACCTCCAAAATATCATTTCGTTATTTTTCATAAAATTAAAATCATGTCAAATTTTTTTATTTTAATTCACTCTTATATATAATGACTCTCCAAAATCTTAGATATTTTTAGTGCTACGGTATTTGTCACCTTCATTGATGAGTGCACTCAAATGACTTCACTTTTTAAATAATAATATGACATCAACATTATCCTTTATGTCTTTACTGCCATAATAAAAAATCAATTCAATACAAATATCAACATATTTTATAATAATGACGTCCATGATTATTTTAATTACCTATTGTCATATGTCTTTCATAAAGTGGGGTAGCATTGACCAATTCTCATATTATGACTATCCAAAAATATAAGGAGCGACAAAAAGGAAATATTCACTTTCTAGGAGTAGCCAAAACACTTCTTCAGAATCAAGTACCAAAATGTTATCCGGGGAGAAACTATTTTAATTGCCACTTGATCAATAGAATACTTCAAGACTCTAAAAGTGCTTTAAATTATTTGTTATTGTTTTTCCATATGAATTATTTTTATCAAAGTTTTTCCTAAAAAATCTATGAACGCATTTTCTATGTTTATATTCACAAATATTACATGGAGAAATTGGATCCAAAACCTTTTAAGTATGTGTTTATTGGGTATACCCCTAGTTAGAAAATGTACAAGTGCTATCATTTCACCACAAAAATATCCCTAATTTTAATGGATTACAATTTTGATGAAAAATAAGGTTTATTCATTCATACTTATCTTCAGGAGGAGAATATCCAGTTGGAAGATGAGTTTTATGAAATTGTAATCGTTTATCTTAACATTCCTACAACCTAAAACACAACAAATTATGGCAATATACACCTGCAAGTCTATACAAGAAACGTTATGCTCAGCCAAAATCTCTAGCATGTTTAAGACTCACAACCATTATCAAATAATAATAATCATTCATTATTTCTATTTTATACCCTATATCTCAATATACATTATTTCAAAATTTTCCCCTAGCACACTGTGATCTGTATAATTTTAATAAAATTGAAAACTGAATTGAACTGATCACATTTGGTTGATTTAGTATGGTTTTGAAATAACTATTTGACTTTTAGTTTTAAAAAATTTTAATATTTCGTTTTTGATTTTTGGATCAATTTTTTATCTTCATTAAACGAAATAAGCCAAAAAAATCAAATAATATTAATGTTGGGAAGCTAAATTTGCTTGGACCAACCTATCCATTATCAGCTCTGTCGTGGTGCGTCTCTGCTATTTTGTTTATCTTCAAGTTCATTTGACGAAGAGAAAGATTTTGAAGAGAATCTCTTAATACAGGAAATTGATTTCTAAAATTCTATTTTGGTTCAGTTTGGATTGGTTTCACCAAAAATTTTGTCAGTGCGATTGTCTGAATTTCAGATTTTGGTTTAATTCTATTTGATGAAACTGTGAACCAATTCATTTAAATAAACTAGTTGCGCACTCCTTCGCACATAAGTCTTTTTTATAACTATTAGCACCAACTCTATTACAATACCATGAATCTTATTTGAGTTATTGAAAAATGAGAATTTAGAATAGATCATGACAGGAGATAAATGTCTTAAAAAAATCACATTGTGGTTGTGGACATACTAAAAAAGAAGAGTAATTGTGGGCTGCAAGTAATTTTTTTTTATAAAGTATAAAGCAGATGAGAGTCTGAAATTATATGTTACAAGATTTGTTGTATACAAGCTTTTGAAATTGACTATCAAGAAACTTTTGCTTCTATCGTAAAAATGAATATAACCATATTTTGATTCCTCTAACTGCTAATATTAGATAATTCATGCAATAATATTATGTGAAGATGTTATTTTTTAATGGGTATGTAAAAAGAGGTCTATAAGGATCCATCATTGGGATTCGATAGCGCTTTCACAAATAAACAAAGAGTGCAAATTAAAAAATGCTTTTGTTGAACTAAAATAATTTTCAAGTGTTTGGTTTGATATATTTATAAAAGTTATGAGGAGAGCAGAATACAGACAAAACAAAGAAGACCATGCACTCTTCTTAAAGCGCTCTTTTGATGAAAATATCTCAATCATTATTATATATGTTGATGATATAATGGTTAAATGTGACAACAATCATGAGGCCTTTGAGAAAAAAAAGTATCGAAGAATTTGAAACTAAAGGCTAGGCAAATAAAAAATTTTCCAGACAAAAATTACTCAATATGAATACAAAAAAATTCTTTTATAGCGTAAGTATGTCATGGATCTTCTAAATGAAACAAAAAGTGGAAGTTCTGTGAAATCCTAATTAAATTAGGCCAGAAGTGGGTCATAGACGAAGATAGAACCAATAATATCGAAGATTAGCTGAAAATTAACATCACATTTGCCATAAATCTTGTTAGTTAATTAATGCACAAATCTTAGGAATCCGACCTTTAAATTGCTAACAAAATCCTCCAATACTTTCAATTAAGTCCAGAGAAAAGAATTCTATACAAAGGGTAAGATATTTGATAAATTAAAGGATATATTGATGCATAATATGCTAAATCAATTATGGTTAGACAATCCATTTTAAGATACGTTTCATTATGAAGATGATAATATCATAATTTGGAGGAGCCAGAATCAACCTATAGTATCATAATCTAGTATTGAATATGAATTTAGGGCAATTACCCAAGGAATCTGCCAGCTTATTTGGATCAATATCATACTAATTTAAAAGGTCACGTTGCCAAATTTATGAAGATATACTTTGACAATAAATTTGCCATCAATATTGCTTATAATTCTATTCATATGATTGTACCAAATATATGAAAAGTGGTGGATATTTTTATAAAAGAAAAATTAGGAAGTGAGTTTATTTATCCTAACAGTAGATAACTTACTAACATATTTATCAAATGGCTCAACAAACCTACATTCAAGAATATTATAAGCAAATTTGAAATGGTAAATCTCTACCATCCAATTTGATGAGGGATTTTTATCAAGGTGGGTTGGTGGAAGAGCTAGATATGGATAATTAGATGTCACAAAATCTGATTTCAAGAAAACATCTGTCATAAGGATTCATATACAAAAAAGATAAAAAAAACCAGTGGATTGCTCCCTTAACATCAGTCGACAATTTCTAAATAATCAAATGACAGATAGTTATGAGATTTTTTTGTGTGTTTATTATTAAAATTATTTATTTTCATTTTCTACATATGCAATTTTGTATATAAACACTCATTGAAATATTAAACCATCCAAGCTTTCATAGCTACATCTTTTTCTATATCAACTCTATTTAAATACTAGAAAATTAGCTCTCCAGCCTACCGAGTAAGGAGCAGCTGCCAACTTGGCATTAGGTTGGATTCACAAAAATTAAGAAATTCTTTTGCACTCATCCCTAGGAGGAGAAGCCATCCAAGCCGTCTCTATGGATATTGCCAGCCCCTGAGAACTCCTTTGTCAATATAGGGAGAGATCACCGAAGGCGTCTTTTTTGACTGCACAAAATAGGTTATAGTGCATCTCATGTAACTGCACGAGGTGTTGCTTGCCAACAATGATCAATATATATATATTTTTTAATTTTTGTAACATAGAGGCATCGCCACAGTTGGAACTTTGAGGTTTTCCAATCATCGGGGAATTTGGATGCATTAGAAGCAAAACTTGGAATCTTGTAAAAAATGTGATATTCATAGATTCTTGCAATATCAACTAACTATAGCTGTTTTTTGTTATTTTGATGATTTTGGTAGTACAAGAAAAATAAAAAATTAAATTGAGATAATGTGAATATGAAAAGATTGATCTGCATGCATGTACAAAACCCTTTATTCAATATTTAGCATTTACTGTTTATTATAATGCATATTCATTTGTATCATCAATGTAGACGTGTATCAATGGTATTTAGCTTTAAGTAAACACTGCTAATTTCTCCACGGATGAATAGACAGGACCGCTATAAAAGCTTCCACGCTGTATTTGAAAAGTTCGATAAAATTGGAAGCTTTATTTTTCTCTCCTTGAAACTATTCCTAGAATATTATTAGGGAGAAGATTGCAGATTATTTCTTATTTTAGTGGCATCAAAACCTACTCGAATCTATTTCAAATCTTTTCATTCACTTGGTTATTCTTCTTTATCACAGGGCATCTATAACTAGGATAATCCAGTTGAGCAAGGCCTTCAGTATAAATCTATATAACATACTTATTCCTATCTCATTTTATACCAGTTACAGTGCTATTTTGTATATCTATATTAATAAATTAAGCTTGTCTTTGAAGGTGCGTATTGTACGGCGTGATAATGGAGCTAAAACAGATATACCCATCTCCTGCATGGTTGAACAAGTCCAAGATGTTCTCTCCAGTATTCATGAAAACTTATTCAATGCTGCAAAAGAGAAAAGAGATGCCTGCATAAAGGTTGTCCATACATGGGAGGAATTTATGACGGCCCTCAATGACAAAAAGTTGATCTTGACTCCCTGGTGTGATGAAGAGGTATTCACACATTTTATATTTTCTTCATTTATTGATAATTTTGTTTCTTGAATCCAGCCTTTACAAGTTAATCTGATTCTGAACACTTTATATGTACTTGGTTAAATGTCAACCTAATGCTCTTGAGCTCGCTGTGCCAGGGGTTTCTCATGTCATGAAGGCGAATGGTGCTCCAACTATATCTTGTTCGAGATGGTGATTATTCTTGATATTCCTTACTCTCTACAACCTTTCCTTTGCTGTTGCAGTCGTCGCCGACCCCTGCAGCCATCCCTCTTTCCAAGGACAACAACCTTGTTGTCTCCCTGCAACCTAACCCTCCATCCTACCCATCCAACCATCCAGGCCCCCCACCTCGTCCCAATTGCCAAATACTTCCCATCTCTATATCCATCCCTTCACCAGACCTCCCGGCCACCTTCACAGCAACCCACTCTTT